TAGTCACATCCTATAGAAAACAGTAGGTTTGCTATTATATGGTTAAGGCTCTTAGAGTGGAAGCGTGTGTCTTTGAGGCTTTGAGGTTGTGTGCAGTGGAAGAGATTATGGGGGTGCAATGCCAGATTGAATGTGGCTGAGACTCACTGGAGCCCAGACTGGTGTGGGTCTGTGTGGTCGCACAATGATGATGTCACGGCCAGTACGCACATGTCCGGCAGGTGTGCACATTTACGCAAGGGTGTATGTACTGTACAATGTAGCTAAAGGCTGTGAATATCATGAGTGGAGAGAATGATTATTTGGAAAAAAACCAAAACATTTATTATGGCTTTGGGTAGATTTATAATTGTGTTGTCCATGGAAAAGCAAGTTGAGTTTAGCAAACACATAAACAGAATTGATACAACCCAATGAAATCCAAATGAATAAGATTTAAGGATTTTTCAAATTTTATGTTTTTCTCACCTCTTATCCATTGCTATTGTTAAATGTAATCTAGTTATCACCGGCGGCCATTTTTCATGATTGTTGCCGGTGAAAATGTCATTGTGCCTCCAAATTATTCTTTTTCTATTCGACATTGGCTACAAGTGTACCAAATTGCACGCTTGTTTCGTAACATGCACAACCTCGTGGGAGGTGGGGTTTGGAGGGTGGGGGTGTTGCCTGGTCCCCCCCGGCCAGACTATTGGTCAATTGTTACACAAACATTCATCTTCATCCAACTTTCAATAAACATATGACCATTTTTAATCAATTGGTGCATAGCCAATCTTTTATCTTGAGTATGTTCCTGAGATCGAAAGCTATTGTTCTTTGTTTTTTGTTGTTGAATATTGCGATTAACCACTGGAATGACCGGACCCAAGACAAGTCTGACATGTTGTATCTGGTATCTTTTGCATCCAAGATCACCAGACCGATTTTATTAAGAAGTATTTAAACCCTTAGCCTCTTTTCATCAGTATCTCTTGAGCTCTCTTCAGTTCACACCAGCCCATTGTCTCAGGCCTCGATAACGGCACGAGTGAAGAATGGATGACGTCATGGCAGACTGTTCATTGGCAAAGACAGATGGCAGCCGGGTGAAGCATTCATCAATACAACAATTCACTCCCACTCACACAACTACAGACATTACACACATTCTGGGCAGAGTCCTGTTCATATTGCATCCAATTCCAATTCACAAGCACATCCATAAAGCAGTGCTCTTTGATGACAAGGTGGAGATATCGCCAGCAGCATTAATAACTCCACTGATTTTACAAACTCAGCAGTTAGGACTTCCATCATCTTTAGCTATATATCTATTTTATGTCAATGTGTCTGATGCAAAAGATAATGGAAACATAATTAAATGTAGTCTGAAGTTTTTTTCCTTTCCCTTTTAAAATGAATGAACTAGATAAAAAACAAACAAATAGTGTTTTGTTCGTAATGTATTATGTATCAGTAGGACAGCACAGTGACAAGAATCTGTTTGTTACAGGTCCATCAGATACTTTGTAAGCAAATTAATAACATATCTGCAAAGTCTATAGCGGACCCTGAAGTGCAAGTTTTAGGGTGAAGTCCACAACTTATAGTATTTAATTTTGAAAATGATGTATGTTTCTGACCATCGGGCACTGTACTTTTATGTACAGTAAGTATTTTCTACAATAATATATTTGAAATAGTCCCTTTCTTTGGTACCGCTACAACCGGTAAGTTTTGCAGGAGAAGAATTGTTAAACCAATGATGGCGGGTTTCAAGCATTTTAATTCATTTCGACCAATCAGGGAGCAGCAGACGTGGGCGTGGGCAGGTCTAAGCAGCGCGCTCGTATTAAAAAAGTTGCATTCTCACTATCCCTCTTTGAAATGACAACCCATGTATCTCAAAAATCTTATCTCTAGTTTTCCCATGCATGGATGGTTTTGGCTTTCGTCACATCTTTAAATCAGTTTCTTCAGTGAAAAATAGTACCAGCCACCTCTCAGCCAATCAGCTCTCAGTATGTGAAATATAGTGTTATCTTACAAGATGAACACAGCATGGTGTGATCTGACCCTTTCTGTAGAGACAAACACAATGCATTCATGAAGAAAAGTAAGGTTGTCCAGCTTTAAGATTAGATAAGCTGATATATTTTCAGCCTTGACTAATCCTCATTGCACTCAGCTTTGGGAATATTGTTGGAAATATCTTAAACCGCCCTTACTCTTGCATTGCTCTATTGTTCTCTTTTCTTTTCTGCCTCCCTTCAGCTCATCAAAAGGCAATCTCCAAAGACCTAGTAGACTTTCCCCTTTCGTCACTACGAACTCCACTTTTTCCCCAACATAACCAAATGTATTCATTCCCTTCCTCCCAGTCTGCTCCCCTGTCTCTCAGTCAGACAGCACCACAAACAGTGTCAACAATACAGGGTGTGTTTCCAGACTTGTCCAATCTCTCCTCTGGTTCCTTTTTGCTTTAGTGTAGGAGTGCAAAGTGTCCCGTCTAGACCAGATGTGGAGGTCAGTGCCCCCCTTCACCCCATCCACCAGCGGGGCCTGTATCAGTGTCCCTCAGCCTGTCCCACTGGAGCATACGCTTTATTAATCTTTCCTCCTCTCAGGCCTCGTAAACTACTGCAGGAGGCTAGGGTCAGGAGTAAGATGAATGGACACGGAAATGAACTGTATTTTCCTACCTATACCGTATTACATAGTGGATAATAGTGTAAAAATAGGAATTGGGATTGTATTGACACATCTCAGAGAAGTTTCAGTACAATTCAATTCAATGCATTCTTGTTTAGCCCTAAATCACAACAGTAGTTATCGCTGAGAACGTAACAAAACCGTTGAATTCACCTACACAGATCAGAGAATCAAATTGTTCAAACACAAGAAAAGTTGGTTTGCATTAAACCATTGGGGAGTTTTAAGATGCTAAATACCAAAGGTGTTCCCAGGTTTTTTTTATTATCTCAACCTGTAGTACACACAAATACCTGGGGATCCTCTCTTACTGCTTGAACTTTCAAATATGTTGGGTTTATAAAAATGGTTTTGATTTGTGTTAAGTGGGGTTATAGACCTAACGTCATGCTTACTATTAATCCTTGCTTTATTCCTTCTCCAGTATAATACGTTTTATTTGTCTTAACAGATGTTTTGTAAAGTTAAAATGTTGGGAACGCATCAAACCGGGAACAGCTCAATCTTTAGCATCATTAAAAAGAATCTTGTGAGTCACTTTTTGACACGTTGGGCTGAGAGCTGATTTTTTTGACTTTTCTGTCTGAAATATCTGTTCTAAAACTATGACTTGAGACCAAAAATACATGCATGTGAAAACTGGTTTGAGAGCGAGGAACTAGTTAGATGGATTTCATGACTCAAGTTCCATGGCTGTGGTTTGAAAGTTAGACACAAGCTTTAAATGCTGGATTTTGTTTATTCTCATTTTGAGCCTGAGGTTCTGTAATTAAAAATAAGATCAAAAATAGGGCCATGTAGATGTCGGAGTATTTTTAATTTCCAACGTACCATTACAGCACTGCAATAACACAGAACATTATATTGGCTCTTCCACCACTATTGCACTGATGCACTACTTGCCAGATATGTAATTTCTTTCTAAACCCGACTAAATGTGTGAATTCCTCTACTCCAGGCCTGTTCTTTCTCTCTCTCTCTCTCTCGCTCTTGGCATTCCAAAAGTTAACTATGCACACTATACAGTCGCTGAGGGAGTGATGGTCTGAACTGAATACAAGCAACGACCGACACCATCGATCCTCAAACTGCTTCTATCACTTCCACTGGCCCACTGCCGGAGTCACACATCTGCAGCTTTGATACTCCACTAATACACTCAATCACATTCCTTAAGGTTGACGTATTGATGTTAAAATCGACAATGAAGTTTGTTAGAAATACGTGTCTTTCCACTTAATAAATTGTGATGAATGAGTTTGACTAGTTTGCCATATTGTGGGATGTTTTGCAGAATTATGTGCTCAATGAATCTTCCCTTATAAATACTCTGTCATATGCGTAAATAGTTGTTCTCATTTTGAGCGTATTGTAAATATTTGCGCACCCAATCAAGAGGCAACGTGAGAGCATTTTGCATATCGTGAGAGTTTTTCAGGGGAGTGGAGTTGAGTGAACGACTTGAAATTTTTACTGTAAAGTCGTTGAACTTGGGTCAGAGACCATTTGCGAATAATTATTGCCGGTTTGTTTGAAAATGCGAGAGGGTCCAGATGTTACTGTTGTGCTAAAAGTGGATTTTAAAATCTGTTCGCTTCCACATGACAAGTTGTTAACAACATGACATGGGCCTAAATGAAAAACATCTTTTGAATTGTTGAATCATTGACAGTAGTTTCTAATTGTGCAAATCTCAATGTGAGAATTGGAAGAACATATTGACGCATGACTTTGGTAAATGGGCCTTAGTCACTGTATAACTCCCAAAATTCTGTCACAACTATAGGCCTGTTTTCCCATGGATTCCTCTTGTACATATGTGTGTAATCATTTAATGTGACGTGGAAATAAAAGCCCTAAATCTCGATTCAAGTTCCTGTCATGTTAATTACATTTCTTTTGGATTTAAGCATGACTTTCCCCATTAAATGTGTATTCACCTGGTGTATATAACATATTTTCTGTTACATATAGTTCATGATGAATGTGTCTTTAGAGTATTTTAAATCGTCTGGAGTGTGGACAGATCTGGGTCGTTTCATGGTCTTAAATGTTTGATCCGCAGCTCAGGAGTTCTTTCCAAAATAGCACTTTTTTACAAGGACAAAGTTGAAACTTTCGGTGTAAAGTATCTGTATGGTATAATATGGACAGTCTAACTCCAAACAATGCCGAGAAGGACATAGTAAATGCAAATAGATTAGTGCATAAGGAGTTTTTTTCTGTTTTACCAGTATGAAAAATGTGCTCTTCTGGAAAAAAGTAGTTAATCTGATTTCCCCCTTCTGTTTTTGTGTGTCCCATAGGTGTAAGAGGACCCAGCCATGCAGATAACAAGTGCAGGGTCAGGACTGCGGTGGCGGGTCTGTCCGACCCCTGGTAGCCCTGGACTCTGGAGGTGGAGGAACACATTAGTTTATCTTTACGTTGCACTTGTCCTTGTCCAAAGCTCAGTGGTCTCGGCAGCACTGGAGCTACAGCTTGATGAAGAGCAGCCAGCGGGGACAATAGTCGGTGACATAAGTGCCGGGCTACCTCCTGGAGAAACTGCCACTCTCTATTTCATCTCAGATCATGAAGGGACTGGCGTTGGCAGCGACCTTTACATTGACGAAACTACGGGCATTATCACCACAACGAAGAGTCTTGATCGAGAGCAGAGAGACCACTATAGCTTCATCGCTGTGACTATGACAGGAACAACTATTGAAGTTTCCATTTCTGTCAATGACATTAACGACCACGCGCCTGTGTTTGCCAAAAAGAAAGTCGTTCTCAAGATACCTGAGCATACTCAAGTCGGGACGAGATTCCATCTAGAGCCGGCGGTGGATGCAGACAAGGACCAGTTGACCACGCAAGGATATACCATCAGAGAAGGCAACGTGGGCCAAGCTTTTCGCCTGGAGACCAAGAGAAGTGCGAACAAGGTGTTGAACTTGGACTTAGTGGTCAATGGGCCTCTAGACAGGGAGAAGCGGTCAACATATTTGCTTGTTTTGGAGGCGTATGATGGTGGATCGCCTAAAAGAATGGGATCTATGAGTTTGGAAGTTACCATAACAGATATCAACGATCATGCCCCGGCTTTCAACCAAAGTCGATATCATGCAATCATCTCGGAAAATCTTCAGCAAGGAAGCAGCATCCTACAGGTCAGTGTTAAACAGATCTGTCTGATTTAAACTTTAAATTACTACTGCACTTTATTACTATTGTTTGTAACTTTTAGAATGATCTATTTTGTCTCTATCTATCTATCTATTAGAGTTGGAATGTATGCATTTGGATGGGTGTATTCACAACATTGACTCTATACAAAAGTTCTAAATAGTTTTTGTAAATGTCAAGAATCGCACCATGAAACTAGAAAGTGCGATTCGTGAGTGCTTACTCCGCCATCACCATTTTAACAGATTCTTCCTATCATTACACACCAAGGTTCAGCTCAATCTGTCCAGTAGTTTTTGCGCAATCCTTACAGAGAAAGCCACACAACCTCAGTTCATTTCTATACCCCCTTTGTTGGCGGAGTAATACACCAAATATCCAATATCACACTCATCAAAAATGTATTTGTTTTGGATCCATCCAGGTATTTGCAACCGATGAGGACGAAGGCGATAATGGCCTGGTGCTGTATGAAATTAACAGGCGTCAGAGCGACCCAGACAGATATTTTGTGATGGATACGAAGTCTGGAGTCATCACGCTCAATAGACCCCTGGATTATGAGCTGAAGAGAGTGCATGAGCTGGTGGTGCAGGCGCGGGACAATGCCAGCCAACCCGAGGTAATTACAGTCTATTTAGCTTGATATTACCTCACGTAGATCAGAGGAACTTTTTAGTGGGTTTTGGGAGTTGTGTTTTTCACATAGAATTTTGTATACACTTTGAGACCTTATTGACTACTACAGTGCTTTAGACTTGGGTATTATTAATCATTCTGTTGACCTAGATTAGCTTTGTTATTATTTACACATTTAGCTTTCATTCACACATCTTATCACAACTATAATACTTTTACCAGTACCGCACTTTCATTGTTTATAAATAATTGTGGTGATGAATAAATCAGACCGCACCATGTATTATTTTCTGTGAGCTCAATTTGACTCTTTTGGATGAAAAAGCTGATGTAGTAAGGACAAAAATGGAAAACTAGTAATAGATCCAAGCTAGGAAATAGCTACATGGATTTTAGTAATTTAATATTTTTCAACCACTGATAATCAAATTCACAATAATGTTACTTGAAAAATGGTCTTTAGAATCACTGCTAATATTCAGATTTTCTTCCACAGGCGACCAATGCCTTTGTGACCATCCATGTCCGTGACTACAACGACAACCAGCCCACCATGACCATCATCTTCTTGAGTGAGGACGGCAATCCTCGGATCTCGGAGGGGGCCCAGCCAGGACAGTACGTGGCCCGCATCTCTGTCACTGACCCAGACTACGGCGAGTACGCCAACGTCAACGTGTCTCTGGAGGGTGGAGACGGGAAGTTCGCTCTGACCACTAAAGACAGCATCATCTACCTGATCTATGTGGACCAGCAGCTGGACCGAGAGGAGAGAGACTCGTATGACCTGCGGGTGATGGCAACGGACTCAGGAAGTCCTCCTCTCAGAGCAGAGTCTTCCTTCACAATAGAGGTGAAATAAGTCAATATTTGTGGTAAAGTTAAAGTTACTTAGTTAATAAATCAGTTACTATTGGCTTGGTTTGGTAAAAGTAACAAAAGCATAGACAATATATTTTTCATACTTGTGAGAAAGTGCCCTGTGAGTTATTATTTGACACTTTGGGTTGGATGATAGCTGGTTGGCTGAGCAAGACTCGTCATCTTTAGAAAAGATGATCTAAAGCTCTAGAGCTCGGGGCAAGTTATATAGATTTTAGACATTGGGGTTTGAAAGTCAGGAACCCAAGCTTAAGTACTTTTAATAGCAGTAGTTCTTTGTTTCTACTTGAATACACTAGAAATACATTAGAAATTGTTTCTGGACTGAGTCATTTTGACCTCTCTTGAACGGATCAGCCCAAACTGTTAGATTCTTAGAGAGGGCAAGGCGCTATGTATGGTCAAAATACAAATAATGTGCAAACTAAAGTAGTGGTTTGCAGAGTGATTGGTTTGACTCAAAATATATAAGACTGCAAGTATTTTGACTTCACTTCAAATATTTTTTCTCTCACCAGGTAATGGACGTCAATGACAACCCTCCTCTATTTGACCAACAAGCCTACAAACAAACGATCCCAGAAGTGGTCTACCCGGGCTCCTTTGTTCTCCAAGTCACGGCTCGAGACAAAGACCAGGGCCCGAATGGGGACATACGATACAGCCTCCTCAAAGGCAAAAACTCACACTCTGATTGGTTCACCATCGATCCTGTTACTGGGATCATAACTACGGCCACGGTGCTGGATTTTGAGTCTGAACCGGCTCCTAGTATCACCGTTGTGGCGACCGACAGCGGAAGGCCTCCTCTGTCCTCTACGGCCAAAGTGGACATTGTACTTCAGGATGTAAATGACAACACGCCTGTTTTCTCCAGTAACTTTTACAATGCTTCCATAAAAGAGAACACCTCGGCCGGGACCTGCTTCTTAGAGGTAAGACTGATTTTCAACTATTTCATCTCCAACCTCTCTCCACACTGAAACTGCCATGTCGAATCCTCACGGTGCTCAATCTAAGCGTATTTTAGCTTCAACGCTGAAAGGTTGTCCCATTTCTTAAGCCAAATCTACAATCTCTGCTGTCTCTTCTCTTTTGTCGCTTTGCTCTTACGTTTGCTCCTCTGCTGATTGCTTCTGGAAAAAAACATGATTAATGCTTGTCTGTGGATAAGTCTGGGATTCAAAGTGGAGCCTTACAATTACAATTCTTTCCATTTCATTTCAACATTTTAATAATTCAGAAATCCTTCGTATGGCAGTTGCTTGTCTGCAAAGTGGAAATTAATGCATTGAATTTTGGATGATGTATAAGAATTTTAACTTGAGTTTGACTAGTTAATAGGTTGGAGCAAAAATCTAGCTCTTATATGGTTTTCTGTAGTTGCTTGTCGACAAAGGAAGGAGCAGTTTTCAGTTATTCACCAGTGATTTTCTTTGGAAATATTCTCTGGTCCATATTGTCTGATTGTGGGTTAAATTTGGCCCTAACATTTTACTTCAGACACTCTCCATGGTGAGATTTTTGTTATAAATAAGACTAATGGTCTTACTTCCGTCCATAGTGGGGAAATGTACTGTACGTATGTACACTGCAAAAAGTGGTGAAGAATAAGTCAAGAATCGCTCATATTTGGTAACATGTATCTTAATTCGAGGTCTTAAAACAAGATTTTCCAATGGGACAAGAAAAATTACCTTATTTTAAAAAGATTCAAGAAATGTCTTCCTTGGAATGAGAAAACAAATCACAATTTCTTGCAAAAAGACTGAATGGCTTATCCCATTGGCAAATCTTGTTTTAGGACAGTCAGAATATACTTAAATATAGATTTTTTAAAAACACTCGATTCAAGCAAATATTACCTCAAATTTGAAAGAAAAAAAAAGTTGTTAAAGTGAGAAGTGGACATTCTGAAGTTGCAGGACATGAAAATTATCCTGAAGAAAAAGTCACATGTGTATAAAAAAATGACAAGGCTCATCCTGCTTCCAGGTGTCCAACAATGACCTCACTGCAGACAGCAGAAGGTCATGACATCACGCATGTGCAATTTCTGGCCATAGCGTGACATGTCTCTTTTTTTGTTAATTTGCGAGTTCAGTGCATGAAAGAAGGGAGAAAAACTTCACCTGCATTCCTCAAGCTTTTGAACAGAGATTTACTTTGTCCTCCCCATCACCTCTGGAGGTTTCCACAGTAACCCAGCCAACAGCGAACACTGAATATATCTGAGCACTTTCCCCCGTAGCTTTTGCTTTTATCTCAAATCCAGTTATTCTTCAGTATAAAGGGGAGCTCCACTGAGAAATGAGAAAGCATGACAGCCTGTTTGTCTTCCAGCGAGATCTCAACTGGCCATCGTGACCTTCCAGACCAAATATTTTTACAGGGCAGATGAGGAGACTACTTTTAAATCCATGCATTTTCTGCTCAGTTGATTCTTGCCATGGCGTGTGGATGTGGGCACTGAAGTGGAAACACAATTTGAATTTGTTTCCTTTAACTTTTTATGGGTTTAAAATGGTCTTGAATGAGTGTTTGGTTTGGCCCCCGGGAAGTAATAATGAGTTAAGGAAAGTTAGACAAGGATAATATATTACGTGGTGTAAGATGCAAATTGAAATGCTGCTTGAGGTCAAAGTAGATACTTAACTTTTACTTTTACTATTCCTACTACTGATGAGGGTTCAACTGCTGCATTGAGATGGTAAAGCTGGTGTACCTAACTTGTTCATCCCAACCAAATCAGACCATAGATCAACAGAGGTCCTCTCGATTTCAATTTTTAGTCTGAAACAGCTCAAGATGGACTAGCATGTAAAAACTAGTGATGGAGGAAAACAAGGAACTCGTTACATGGATTTAATTATATAGTTATTTTTGTGTGTTTTAAATGTTCCCAGCTTTAATGCTTCACCTGGAATCCATGACGGCAAACCTATCAATTATTGAAATACAGCTGTTTTTTATTCTTAAGGCAGCTGTAGTGTCGCGCCTCATACTTTGACTTGGCTTTTTGCATTGGGTAAATACATCTGGAACTGTAGCTTGGCAGATTTAATCCCCTATTGCACGGCCTGTCCATCCATGAGTTATTGACCCCTGTAATTTGCTTGTAATCAGCCTGCTAGCTTGAATTATTATATCCAAAACGCCTGATAAATAAACCCTCCGGACCTTGAATCTAACCATTGCAACAGTTGTAATCAACACCTTTTTCTCCCTAATCCTAGCCAGCAGTTATTTTGCATTGAGCAGTGGTGCCCCATGCCAAACAACAGGGGTGGCTTTCCATTGGGGCAGAGCCAGTGAATAGGGTTGATTTGCTCTCTGTGGCACGTTCTTCAGCTCTCAACCCGCCAACGGAGCCAAGACTTCGGGCAAAAGTCCCCCCAACTGGGCCCTGATTTGCAGGATAATAGGAGCTAGCTGTTACAACTTCTATCACTTTGTATGCTATAAGAAGTAGCCTAAAAGAATGTAAGCTTTGACAATGTAAGATGATGTAAGCTTTGACATTCATTTGTGCATGCTTTTCTGTTATGGACGTTTACAGTAGTGGTTTTCAACTTGTGGGTATAGATTAGAAAGTTTTTTCCTATTATAAGTATGTGATTGTATGTTGAGTTTTAGATTTTCTTAACAAAATGGTTCATGCTTGACTGAACCAACTTCTTTTTGCACAGTGATAGATCAGTGAATACAATTCTTTGTGTTCTAGGTTCAATTTTTAGAATATTATAGTGGTTGTGTGGTTGTTTTCTTGAGAGAATTAGCTTTAGAATTATGTATAACATGCCATAGTAGCCCATATTAACCTCAAGTACCCCCTGTAATACAACAGCTTACCCCTAGGGGTCTGCTCATCCCCAGTTGGGAAACACTGGTTTACATAGTGGAGTTTATAAAGTATTAAGAAAGTTACACTGCGAGAATCTGTTTCAGTGGCACCAGGAAGACGAGTTTACATTTTTACATGTCTTTTCGCTCCAAAGTTATGGAAAAGAAGATTTGTCATATGAAACACTTTGTAGAGATAAAGGCAAAAGCTTTCCCCAGAATTGTGCTAATATTTAGTCAAGATCATAATCCGTCTTTTGGCTTCATATCAGGTTAAGTGTGGACAAAATGACAGACATTTAGGGATTTTAAAATAAGGAGAAAATTATAGCAAGTTGAAGAAAAACTGTAATTTTACATAATCACATTTCTCCATATATTAGTACAAGTGTAAACATTTTACTGTTACTTTTCTTACTGGTCCATAGCTTCTTCCTGGCTTGAAAAGAGTCGGAAGTTTGTTATCAACTTTGCCATTACAGTCATCTATAATGTGTTGCAAAGTTTATTTAATGGCCACACAAAGGGGTTATTTATTTCTTGGTTTGGTTATTTCCTCTTCCTCCACTTCCTCAGAGTTTTTCTCAGGCTGCAGAGTTACGTCGTCGCTGTGCATTGTGCGCAGACTTCCATTCAGGTTTGTATCCTGTGGGCCCAGAGGTCATGAGAACGCAGGGATTTCTGTGTGTGGGTATGTTGTTATAGTTATACTTTCTTACCTAAAAAATAGTGGGTCCTGTCATGGGATGTGGATAAGTACAAACCACCATTATGTACTTGGACAAAATATGGACATATATTTTAACATATAAAATGAATACGTTATAATGTAATGTCATATATTTCTAAAGGGAATGGGTCAAAATGCTCAAGTGGGAAACTGAAACCCATGAGTATGATATTAGGATCAGTAGATTAGATTTTGTTTTGAGCCATACAAAAATACAACATTCTGCGCCATACAGAGAGCACTGTACCCACACATATAGGCCAACTTTTGTAGGAACCATATATAGACAATATATTAGGAGTGGACTGGCCGACTGCTTACCTCACCGAATGTGGAAGAAGCCGATTTGAACATAAACTAGCTGGAGCCAATTTCTTTATATGGTATTTGTTTCGATGGCATTAGCTTTGGGTAGTAACATGGGATAGGCTTGGTTTCCCCCGCGAATGGAGGCATCTTAAAAGCCATTCCTTATATTGCTCATATCTTAATTTAAACACCATGATCACAGAGAGAACTAAACCAAATTTTTTTTAAAGCCCAAAATAGTGAGTGTGACACAAACGGTTACAAAGCCTCAGGCGTTTACTTTTCAATGTAATAGGAGCCAGCGAGTTGGAACTTAAGTTTGTCCGTGAGCACTTCCTTATTGGGCTTCATTGAGTGGGTTAATATTGTCCATCGACATAGAGTCTTTGCCAGGAAAAATAATGGAAAATCTATACTAAAACTGGTAGAAATTACATAGAAAATGCTGCTCATTTTCCAAATCTGTGTTATTGAAATTGGTATCAAGTATGGTGTCTTAAGTTGGTAATTTTAGTATCTTGTCAAAAGTACTCTTGGTCTTGGTAATTGCTGTTCCTCAAGTTAATTCCTGTTAGAAGAAATAATTAGGTTGTTATTCAGTCATTCTGTGCTGGTTGGTCCTGGACTGACAATATAAACAGTACTGTCGCTTTGTTCAAAACGCCACCGTGAAATAATATAACTTCAGTATGTTTCTCATTGTTCATATCTTCTGCACCTGAACCTCCTGGAGTTTTCTGCCAAATCTGATGACACGCTTCAGTTCAGCGTGACCTCAGCAAGAAACTGCTCATCTGCAAGAGTTCAGGGAATGATCAGAGAAGACGTGTAGGTCTGTGAAATAGTGTGTGAGGTAAACACTACACCGATAAACATGCTTTAAAGTGGATGTTAGTTACTTTTCATATTATGAAGAGAGAATGAAACTATTTGAATAGAAGCACTGGTTAGACCCGCCCATTGCCCACCTCTGAAGCATCCTGATTGGTCAAAATGTAGTCATTGGTGTAACTATTCCCCTCCCGCAGATCTTACTGGTCGGAGGAGGGACAATTTAAGTTGCTGACATCACCCTTAATAAAGAACTTTCAAATAAGGTCT